GAATCCACGGGACATCAATAGCACACCCTCTCCTTGAGGAGGGATGGGTGCAGACACTACGAGAACCGGGGGCAGTGGGTGAATACAAGGACATGTGTCCTCCAGGTACAACAAGGCACACATACAGGAGCTCATAGTGGTGAGGTAGTGTGCGTAAGCGCTGGGCAGGCTCAAGCCAGACCAAATCCCACCCTCAGCTGAGGGGCTCTTGACACTGCTAGCTGCCAGGACAGGGAAAGTCCCTGGTTGGTTGACCGCTCTCTGGTGGAAAGCCACACAGCCAGGAATCTATGGCAGCACAAAGTGGTCTTGATGGGTGAGAAATCAAGACACAAAGTTGGGTGGGTGGGGAGGTGGGTAGATCTGGGAGGAGCTGGGGGAGGGAGGATGAATATGATCAAAACATATTGTACAAATTTCTCAAAAAACTTATAAAATGCTTAAGAATTACATTTATGTATGTATGTATGTGTGTATATATGTATGTATGTATCTACCTATCTCTCGGTGTTTGTGAGTGTGGGCCATGGCATGTGTGTGGATGTCAGAAGAGAACTTGGAGAAGTCAGTTCTCTTCTTGTACAATGTGGGTTCCAGGGATTGGACTCCGGTTGTCAGGTCTGGTGGCAAGCACCTTTATCTTCTGAGGTCTTGCTGGTTCTATTTTAACTTTTAAATAATGTTGTTGGTGTTATGGTTGGTCAGTGAATTTTAAAAATGTATTGCTTGATAATATAAATGGCTAGCTATATTGATATAAATAAGAATTTAGAGCCAACCTTTAATCCCAGCACTTGGGAGGCAGAGGCAGGTGGGTCTCTGTGAGTTCGAGGCCAGCCTGGTCTATAAAGTGAGTTCCAGGACAGCCAAGGCTACACAGAGAAACCCTGTCTCAAAGACCCACCCCCCAAAAAAACCCTGAAAAAACAAAACAAACAAAACAAAAAACACAAACCAAAACAACATTAAAACCAAAACCAAAACAAAAAACCTAACCTTCCCAAAATAACAATAAAACCAAAACAAACAAAAAGAATTTATAGCCTCCAAACAAACTGAAGCCGATTGTTAGTGGTCTTGATGACCAGGCCTAGGTGATGGCTATCAGTGGTTGCTTTCATTAAGGCGGACAGAGAAGGGGAGATGGGCTCCTTCCCCAGGGATCAGGTTGGAGTCTCTTGCCAGCTCAAGGCAAGAATTTCCACATCAAGAACGACTTTTCTCCCTTCCCATCCATGAACCTGCAAGTTTCTAAGATGACATCAGAAACCCCGTGCAGCCATAGTGGCTTCTGAGTGGTCACTTGAGCGCTACTGAATGGGTACATGAAGTTAATGCTAAGACAACTGCAGATCTGGGAACCTACACCTGTGCTGACTTCCTGTCTGTGACTCACCCTGGGGGAGGCCATGTTTGGGTTGCTTTCTGTGACTCTCTTGAGAGAAGTCCACACCCATACTTTTGGGTGTGCTCTTACTCTATTCCAGAGTGCCTTTGTTCCTTAACATCTTTAATAAAACCTCCAACGTTGCTTCAGACTGGCTACGCCTGGAATTCTCTTCTGTGTCAAAGCCATGAATCCTGAGTCCATGGCCTGAGTCCATGTCCCTAAAAAGATTAAGGGACCTCCATAGGCAGCTGAGGGTGCGAGCTTGAAGCTGTCCTTCTGACAGCGTCACGAGAAGAGGCATCCCATGCTTTCTGAAAGAACACAAATATCTGGCTAGGTATTAAAAAATTAAAAAAAAAAAAAGGATCAAGTCTCTTCTCTCAGTGGCAAATAACTGTGTCAAAACAAACAAGTATCATGTAAAAGAGTGCTCCAAACAAAAGAAAACCGAATCTTGCTGCCTGAGAAAAATACCAAAAGAAATAAAACAGAAATAAAAGTTAGGTCTTACAAAGACTTAAGTGACATAGCAATTATCTTTTCAAAGTGTGGGACTTATTTGAATTCAGAGTCAAATAAACTGCAAAAAAATCAAAGCAACATAAAAAAATCAAGCTGGGAAATTACTCATATATATTTCTCTATATAACTTATGTATACACACACACACACACACTCCAGGCTGGCCTCTGCCTGACTTTGAACTTCTGATTCTCCTCACTCCACCATCTGGAATTATGAGATTACTGGTGTCTACTAGGAATCATGGCCAGAGCTTGCTTCACGCTAGGTAAGTACCCTCGTAACTGAGCTACATTCCTAATACTAGAATTTATTTCTAACTTTAAAAGATGCAACTAAGATATGATAACATAGCCTTTAATCCCAGCACTCTGGAGGCAGAGGCAGGCGGACCTCTACGCATTCAGTGCCAGCCTGTCTACAAAGGGAGTCCTGGATAGCCAGTCCTAAACGGAGAAACCCTAAGAAATTTATTCTGAAATGATTACAGATGAAATGTTGTTGGTATGGGCTTCCGAATAACAAAAACAAATGCATGCCTGCCTCTAGAAAAGTGTAGCTGGCAGAAGCTCGAGAAAAAAAAAAAAAAAAAAAAAAAAAGAAAAAAAAAAAAGTATTATTTTGTGGCTCTGGCTGTCCTGGAACTTGCTATGTAGACCAGGCTGTCCTCGCACTTACAGACATAGACTGGCGTCTGCCTACCAAGTGCTAGGATTAAAGGCTTATATCACAGTGCCTGGCTAATATGAGAACTTCAAAGGTTAGTCCAGAGGCGTGGTTCTGGGTTCCTTTTGAGGTTACGGGGAATGCAGCTTTAGTCTTGTGAGGGGAGAGGGACTAGATGGCCGTAGCCACTGTTACCTCATCACCCGGACACTAATCAAGGGGACCTCCGTTCCTGTGAGTGGGGCTCCTTTGCTAGCTCTGCCGGTGTGACTGTTCGGCCAGGCCGGTGAGGACTTCCTCTCAACCTAAGCCACAGCGGGTTGAAGGGTAGTCTGGGTAGCTGTCTCTCCTGTCTCCACTGGCCAGCTCCACTTGGCACTTACGTGGGTACTGGGGACTTGAACGCTGGTCCGTAGCACGGGCTGCAAGGGCTTTACCGCTCAGCCATCTCCCGTAACTTTTATTTATTTATTTTATGTCTACGTGTTTAATTGTTTTGTCTGCATGTTGCTGTTCACCTCGTGTGCCCAACGGAGGCCAGACGAGGGCGTTGGATGCCCTGGAACTACAATTCCAGGTAGTTGTGAGTCACTGTGTAGGGGCTGGGAATCAAACTGAGCCATCTCCCAGACTTCTGAGAAGGGGCCTCACTCCTTGGTTGGTCTTGAACTCCCGGCAATCCCTCCTGCCCCGGCCTCCCAAATGCTGGGATTATAGGCTTGTGCCTACTGTCTGCAATTAAGCATGTGGTCCGCACTAACTAAAGTGGGCACCCGGTCCCCCACCCCCCGGACCTGCGCCTCTCCTGAGGGCGAAAGGGAGAGGGCTCCGGACAGCGGACCACATTTCCCAGAACTCCGTCCTCGGCCACCAGTGTCCCGGCAGCCCTTGCAGCTCGGGGCTGGGTGGCCCGGGTCTTTCCCCGGCCTCGGCCATCGCCTGCCTGCTACCTGGCTGGGAAAGGGCAGTCTCCTGCTCAGACTTTTGAGGGACTTTGCGGGGGGTGGGGTGGGGTTGGTTGTCATCCTCCAGTGTCCGACAGCAGGCGGCCTCCAGGGGCGGGGGGCGGGGACTCGGCTGGAGAGTCGGCCGTGGGCTCGCCTCCTTGCAGACTTCTTCGAAGGACTGTTGGAAGAAAGGACCCTAAAAGCCCACACAGTGAAGCCTGAGCCCGCAGTAAACTTTTGCAAGGCTGGCAGACAGGGTTGGCCGCGGCCGCTCGCGGAGGGGAAGCCCACTCCTGCCCTCGGCCCCTTTCCCAGCAGGCAGCATCTCCGACTCAGTACCGCCTGCCAGTGGGATTGCTCGCCCAGAGCTCTGCCACCTGTGGCCTTCACCTGAGCTTCAGGCCGCGTTCCTGGGCACTTCTCCCTTCCCTGCTCTCCTGATTTTCATTTCCTGACACCATCTCCTTTCTTGTCCCCCAGGAGTGTTGTCCCTTTCACCACTCTGTAGGCTGGTTTGACTAATAAAATAGCCACCCCGTCGTGTAGACCGTTGGTGAAGGCGTGTGAGGAGCTAGACAGTACACATTCAGCTCTGTGGTCTCTTTAGGATATGGCTCAGGTACTAGTTAAACAAACGGGTGTGATTGTGTTCCAAGCACTGACACTGACGTTCCTCCCCTCTCTCTCCATGGTCTCACTAGGTAGCCCTGGCTGGCCTGAGGCGACCTGGCTGGCCTCCAGTCCATAGTCCAGCTTCACAGACTTCTCTGATGTCGAGTTATTTTTTTCCCCTTCAACTATTTAAAATGTAGAAGTCATTTTCGCCTAGGCTGCCATCCACCAGCAGTTTGCCAGATTGTGACAGGGAAGTGGAACAAGGCTCTGCCCAGATCTTCTGGCAGCTCAGGGAATGGTGCCAAAAGGAGCAAACATCGCGGCTGCCTCCCTACAAGTGGGCAGAACAGGTCAGGCGTTGCGTGTCAGCATGGAGCACCTCGAGGCAGGCCTGATGGCTTCCCCCTTCCCAGTGCTCTACAGTTGTCTCCACTCTGGGAGGGAAGAAATGGCTGGTCGCTGTCTCTGCAGCTAGGCCTCAGGCAGGGTTGGGTCTCTGCTTTTTGGTTTCTAGTTTCCGCAAGATTTCACTGGTCTTTCCTTCACCGTATAATGTAGTAGAAAGTGTCCTCTTTTAGTGCTCCTTTGGGCACTGGGGTACCTGTTTCAACTTTGGGAAATGCTATATAGTCCAAGAGGAAATGAGTGTGTATTCACGTATGTGTGAATGTTTTTTAATTGAAAGGTGCTTCATATCATAGATTGTATGGTTGATATTCTATCCTAGAAAGAAAGTTCTGTCTGGGTAGTTAGGTCAATGTGACACAAGATAAAGTTGACCAACCCATAAAGGACACTTCAACACCATGGACTCACTGTCCCCTCCCACACACTTTATATATAGATCACCAACGTGCACATGCTTGGTACTTTTAATGGTTCTAGGGCTCAACGGGACAAATACGGTGAAATACAGAGCCCTCAAGAACAAGCTGGAGGGTGCAAATTCCACCTATAGGCTTATGCCTGGAGCGGACACAGAACAAACAAAAACAAATCATTACACCATAAAGGTTTAAGTACTAAGACTTAGTCCAACAAAACCAAAGCTATTGCTAAGCCTATGGGTGCTACATGCAATAATTTTAGCCCCGTGGAGGCTGAGGCAGGAGGATGAGTTCCAGTCTGGGCTACACAGCGAGACCCTGTCTCAAACAGATAAAACACTACTTAGGTTTGCACTCAACAGATCCTCAGAGAGCTAGCTTAAGAAATGTGATGCAGGGGCTGGAGAGATAGCCACTGGTAGAGTGCCTGCTGAGTAGCCACGAGGGCCTGAGTTCAAATCCCCGGCATACATGGAAAAGCCAGATGTGCTAGCATGTGGTACTGAGGAGTTAAAGACAGATGAATACGGGGCTTATCGTTCAGCCAGTTGAGTAGAATCTACGAGCTTCAGGTTCAGTGAAAAGACCCAGTCTCAATACAGAAGGTAGAGGGCTGGAGAGATAGCTTAGCGGTTAAGAGCACTGGCCACTCTACCAGAGGACCAGGGTTCAATTCCCAGAACCCACGTAGTGACTGACAACTATCTGTAATTCCATGGCCCCTACAAGGCTGAATGCATACTGTGCACAGATGGACAAGCAAGCAAAACATCCATATACATAAAATAAAAAAAAAGTGAATAAAAAAAATAAGGTGGAGGACAATTGAGGAAAACATCCATTACTGACCTGTGGCTTTCGCACCCACGTGTACATATGAACATCTCCACGTACATGTGTATATATATGTATCACACACAAAAAGTACGGTAGGCGTAGCTCAGTGGTAGAGCGTCAGCTTAACCTGTGAGGCCCTAAGTTCAAACCAGCACCACAAATAAAATCGACAGAAGGTGTTACTAGCTTATGAAGTGATTAAGATGCAACAGAAAATGTGGCAGTGAGCACGCACGCGCTTCTTTCAAAACTGCCCTGCATGTAGCCCACTACCAGATTATCTGACATGCTCCATTCCCCCGGTGACCTTGCTCCAGGCCTTTCACGGTCACATCTGCTCCTTTCAGTGCACACGACTGTTCTTCGATTTGCTTTGATGCTTAGTGAGACCTGTCGGTTTGTCCCGATACCCCGTTTGTAATTCCCCATTACCTACTTACACACTGTATAACTGAGGAACCGAGGCAAGATAAATAAGGTTGGTTGGAAACGCTTGCTAATGCCACTCCAGTTTCGAGGAGTGTGTTAGTGCCCAGATCTTGTTTCTAAAAAAAGGTACTGATAAAAAGGAGCCAAGAGTTTCAGCAGAGCTGTTTCCATCCAAGTTTGGGGCGGTGGAAATGTAGGATGCCTTGAGATATCACAGGCTGGAAGGCAGGAAAGTGCCCGCACCCAGAGACTAGAGAGGCAACGCCAGACGGGTGAACAGAAACAGGGGCTGTAACGGACTAACTTGACTCAGCTGTCGTCAACACAGAAGACTCCCAAACCGCTCAGTCAGTGAAAAAGCTGAGCAAAACTTGCTTCTAATGCATTTTCAGCTAATGTGGAAAGAGCAATAGGAAAATAACCTGTCTTGTAGACCTTGATGAAAAGACTGACTCAGGCAAAGATTACCGTTAAATACAATATGACTGTGTACAAAAACGTTGGTAAAGAGGACAGCCACACTGCCGAAGTGTCAGTTCACAGACAGTTAACCATGACCGGAAGAATTACACTGGGACAGTGTGGTGGTACCACCTCAACCGTGAAATGTCACGTCATCAGCCATGTGTTGGCCTGACAGTGAGTTCTGGCAATGCAGGAGGAAACACAGCTGTGAAATGCTTCGGTTAAAGATGTTTAACCTGAGCTCAGTTAAGCCTTTGGCCTCAACTCCTAATTTATAGAAGCTTCAGGACATATACTGTATCACACGCAAGCCATGTACTAACTAACAGCACACCCTGAAAACAAAGGAAAACCAAGAGGGACTGTTTAGGTAGAAGACACAGACAAAATAAAAGGTGTGCAGAAACTGAGTGGCTCAACAGGGGAAATCAGAAAATGGCCTAGGTGCTAGATGTGAGAAAGGACTGCCCATTTTCTTTGAGGTAGTGTAGCTACGTGGATGACCTAATTTTATGAGATTATTTGAAGGTGAAATGTCTTTACTCTTCAATATGGCAAAATATTAACTTTAAAATTTAGGTGGTAGGTACGGTTGACAGGATGATTTCTAAACTCTTACATATTTAGCAATGTTCCTGATAAAAAGTTGTAGGAAATACTTGCTAAAAACCTCTTGAAGGACAACTTTAAAATGAGGGAAACCTACATAAAAACAGTATTCTGTACTATTATTCTCTCTATATTTTTTATAGGAGCCTTACTTGCCTCTGTGTACCAGTGGAAGACTTTATAAATGCATTATTTACATAAAATACACAAAGGCAGGAAACACAAAGTACTGCCCTATGGCCTGTGCCACACCACACTCATCCTAGTGGAAAAAGCGTTATGAAAGGCAGGAAGCAACATCAAAATCATCTAGCAAACACATTTGTTATCCTTAACATAACTGTGGAGTAAGCATAATCTGAGAATTTTTTTAACTGGTATTTTGTGAATACTATGAAGTCAAGGGTAATTAATGTCAGGAAAGGAGAAAGTGACAGTTTCATTAAGGAAACACTCCCACAAAGATAGCTTTAGAATGCCAGTGCCTCAACCTTTTCTTCAATCCCCCTGTGGTGTCTAGAGATGCTCTGTTGTCGATATGAGCTTAGGGATATATGGTGCAAGAGCTTGTTTCTGCTCAGGCGGTTAAGGGAGCTTTCACTGGGCAATGATGGCCTCAACTTCTGATTCTCCATTCTTAAGCAAACAGTTTTTGCTAAACATGAGATAAATAGACACAGACATTATTTTCAGTCTCACCAATTTTCTCTCCATCCAGGCGATTCTACCTTACTACTCAGCTCTAATTTATATAATTTACTCATCGATTCAACCAACATATATTGATCATATGCAAGGCACTGGAGAAACAAGAACAAGCGAGATGAAGCTCAGCTGTACGTTCTGAGAGCATGACACTATGACGGTAAGTACAACAGTAACTTAAAAATTTGGTTCCTGCTAGTCTTCCTTTTATGCTGTTTAAGACCCATAAACTCAGTTATTGTTTAATGATTACTAATTAACAATGGTCTCTGTGCCAAGGCTTTTTCCAATAAAAAGTTTTTCTAGTACATTAAGTGTAATTTCTATCTTACTTCCATGTGTGAAGGAGTACTAGGCTTCTAATTATTCCTGAAATTAATTTCCTTTTTAGCTTCTTATAAATATGGTACATTTCCTGTTTTACCACTATTATTTCCTTAGGCAAAGCGGGTCCAATTATACTTCCTATACATCAGCTTTTTGCACACCTCCCTCCGTACTCCTTTCCACCCTTGTTTTCTCTTGCCACCTCTGCGCTGGCCTCAAACCTATTTTCCATTACTTATTCTAACATATCTAGCCATGTCCATTGCTCACTCAACATGGCTTTTAGGTAGGATTGTGCTTGCTCTGTGACAAAGTAGTTAGGAACATGTCCTTACCTTTTCTTTACTCTAAAGATCTTTGTTAACCGAAAGGGTTCAATCAAGAAGTCTGTGTCTTGAGCACAGTAGGCTCTCAAGAAATGTGTTTCAATGGAAGAAATGGCTTTGCTACAGTAAGAGCCATGAGAAAACTTGTCAATTTAAAAGCCAGGTAGAAAAAAAATGGGAACAGTCTTTTTCTCCTTCAGGGTAATACTGGATGTCAAAACCAAGTGAAACTAAAAATACTGTTGGGCTAAAGATGACTTTAGGCTTGGGGTGTTTAATCTGTGTCTGAGTTTATACATGGCTGGGGTTTTGTGTGCAATGACCCTCTATCTTATCAGACTGCCTTCTCTTCCCGGAGGAAGTGTAGTTAATAGTGGTCACAGTTTAAGATCCTTCCAGGTCTTTCTTCTCCTCAAGCTTACTGGCTTCAGTTGTAATGGGAACAGAGGGAGCGAGAAAATGGGAGGGACCTTTTGGTTATCTTAAGGCTTCAAAGCTAGGATGAAGCAAAGGCCCGAAGCATCGATCTTCTTTCCTATGATGTCAGGGTTACTCTCTAGTGTGAGATCTACTTGCCGGATGCTCTCCCAGGTTATATTCATAAGGCCTCAATAAAACACACTTGAAATTTACTAAGAGTTGATGAGTCACAGGTTTTAAAATATCCTCTCATAGTATTTCTTTCTGGAATGACTTCAAGTGATATCAGATAAAAGCTAAATAGTTGACGGAGCTTTTAGGTTTCACACTAAATCTAAATGGGCGAGAGCCATTGTACTAACTCTGGTACTTCCGATACTGCAGCATCTAGCTATTGCACTGCTTCAGATTCCTTTTGGGTCTTTTGACATGGCACACAAAATGAAATTTAAGCCATCAGGTTTTAAAGCGTAAACCAAGTCTCCCTTGTCTGCTAATTGCGGTGTCGGGCACCCGTGTGCACGCGCTGATGTTGAATAAGGTTTGTACTCTGTGTGAAGCTTTTCCCACAGATGCGGCACGCGTAGGGCTTCTCCCCCGTGTGAATCCTCTGGTGCTGAATCAGGCATGTCCTCTGGCTAAAATCTTTGTTACAGTGACTACATTTATAGGGCCTCTCTCCGGTGTGAGTTCTTCGATGCTGGTTGAGCGATGAGGAGTAAATGAAAGCTTTCCCACACTGGTTACACTTGTAGGGCTTCTCCCCGGTGTGAACCCTCTGGTGCTGAGTCAGGTTTGCGCCCTGTCTGTATGCTTTCCCGCACGTGTTGCACTTAAAGGGCTTTTCCCCATTGTGGATCCTCTGGTGCTGGGTGAGGTGCACGCTCTGGCTGAAAGCCTTCCCACACACGCTGCATTTGTACGGCTTCTCTCCCGTGTGTGTTCTGTGATGCTGAGTCAGGTTAGCACTCTGGCTGAAGGCCTTCCCACACACGTTGCAGACGTAGGATTTCTCGCCGGTGTGAGTGGTCTGATGTTGTATAAGAGTTGAGGAATGGGCAAAGGCCTTCCCACATTCGTTGCATTTATAGCACTTCTCTCCAGAATGGATTCTCTGATGTCGAATAAGGTAAGTGCTTTGGCTGAACACTTTCCAACACTCGTTGCACTTATATGGTTTTTTCCCAGTATGGATTTTTTGATGTTGGAGAAGGTGTGTACTCTGGCTGAAGGTTTTCCCACACTCATTGCATATATAAGGTTTTTCTCCAGTATGAACTCTCTGATGATTAATCAGCGATGAACTATGGCTAAAGGTTTTACTGCATTCCAGACATTTATATGGTTTCTCTCCAGTATGTGTCCTTTGATGTATGGTAAGATGTGCCCTCTGACTAAAGTCTTTTCCACAATCGTCACACTTGTAGGGCTTTTCTCCAGTATGGATTCTCTGGTGTATGGTGAGGTGTGCACGCTGGCTGAAGGCTTTCCCACACTGGTGGCACTCGTATGGTTTTTCTCCAGTGTGCATTCTCTGATGTGCAATGAGGGATGAGATATGCTTAAATTCTTTCCCACATTCTTCACATTCGTAAGCTTTCTCTTTGGCATGGTTATTTCGGTGTGCCAGGAGTGATGGGTATTTCCTAAATTTTCTTCCACAGACATTACATGAATAAGGCTTATCTCCAGGACGTATTTTCCCATGAACAACAACACCAGAGGACACACTCCTGAATGTTGGCTTGCTTTCATTATACAGAGAAGTTTTATTATCTGAATGGGTATCAAACTGTACAATTAGGTTCGTGTGCTTTTCAAAATTATTTCCATATATATCATATTTACTAAGATAGTCTTCTGTAGAGTCTTCTTCTGAAAGCTCTGACTTCAAACTAAAATCCTCTTCACCCATATGAATCTTCCCGAAGGCATATACTGGCAGCATCTCTAAGCTGTCATCGTAGTCACAGGGCTCTTCCAATTTGATGGTCTGGGTTCCATCCTGCTTCAGTTTAGGAGGATCCTTCAAAGGAATATGTGCTTGAACTTTAGTTTCCCATTCTGAAATAAAAACAAATATTACAACTCTCACTCTGTTTAAAAAAGGAAACAAAATAATACACATGAATAAAATAATATCTAAAGATTATAGCTCTGATAACTTCATTTTATGGTCCTTAAAGTTTAGGAAAGGAAAGTGAATGCTTAGAAAAGGAGGCGACAAGTCACTGGAAACGGAGAGGCTACTTTCTAGCCAGCATGCTATAAAGTATACAGAGGAGGGAGGGGACAGTGTTAAGAGAGACCTGGGGTACATGGAGTAATTTATACATAGGATGGTCTCATAAAGTAAGTATACTGCACTATTATTTTCTCTTCTGATATATATGTACAATCCCAAATAATAATAACAATAATGTTCTTTTTTTCTTTTGAGCCATAGTCTCTCTATGTAGCCTTGGGTGTGCTGGATGTCACTCTGTAGACCAGGCTGGCCTTGAACTCACAGAGACCCGCCTGCCTCTGCCTCCAAGTGCTGGTAACATAGGTGTGTGCCACTATGCCGGCTACCACATAATATCCTCAGAGTAATCCCACGGCGTGCCTTCGACTCGCAATTATCCAGCAGCCTTAAACAATGGTTCTTGAAGCCCATGTCTCTTGAAGACAGTGACTAGCACTGTCACCCTGGAAATGAGTTGAAATGATTGGGTCCCACTTAAGAGACTTTGACATGGAGGCTGAATAACTGGTTTTAGAAAGCACTGAAAGCTATTTTGTTCCACAGCAAAATGGGAGGACATGCAGCCTAAAGGCTAAAAAGCACCCCTCCCCCCTTACACCTCATATTAAGTTAAAGTTCAAAACTATGTCTACAGCGGTGTCCCTCAGTGAGTTACATGCCAACTCCCTGAGAAGATTTTCATCCCAACTATATGAGACATCTCTCTTCCCTGTAAACAAGCACAGTTCCAGGGGCAAGTGTCTCCAGGATCAAACCAGAATCTTAATTTGAAAATACAAACACTTATTTAAAACTCCAGGAGTATCGTCCTGGAGGTCAGCAGGCTGCTCCAGGTCTAGACCGATTTCTGCTTATCTTGCAGATCTGTACACAACAGTGGACCATGGGCATAATCAGCAGTCACCGCTTCTGGAGACACAGAGGGACCGAGTGTTGTGTGCAGGTGAGATGCTGTGTCTGTGCGCAGACAAAGGGGTCTGCTGGCAAACAGTAAAAAAAAAAAAAAAAAAAAAAAAAAATCTAACATACCAAGGGAGTGTGAAATGAAAGTTTCTGCAGCCGCCTATACTTGCTTACTATGACGGCTGATCTTGGCTGTCAATTTATTACATCTGAGATCAACAAACCCTGAGCAGCCGGCACAGGCCTGTATGGGGGGTGGGGGCTTGACTGGGTCATCTGGAGTGCAAAGACCCATCCTAAATCTGAGCTGCCATCTTCTTGTAGTAATCCATATAAAAGGACACTGAAGGAAGCTTTTGCTTTTTGCCTGCTTGCTCTCTCTCTCTCACTGACAAGTTCGGCTATCTAGTTGCTGAGGCATTTCTTTGCTGGCATTAGAACCAAATTCCTCAGGATTCCAATACAGCAACTCTACAGGAAGCCTCTGGAACTCCAGTTCCACACTGGGATGCTGACACATCCAGCGTCATGGACTGAACAACTAACTACTGGATTCTTTGGCCTTTCTGTCAGGAGACAGCCAATATTGGACCACTGAGACCATGGCCTATAAGCCACTCTAATAAATCCCATATCTATGTTATCTATAAATACACATTTATTGTATATGTGACTTATTACGCATCTATATGTACATATGCAGGTATACAGTTCAATCAGCTCTATTCCTTTAGAGAGCCCTGACTAACACACTTAGATTAGTGTAAGTGTGTTAGTGTAAGTGAGAATGGCACAGTGAAACCCCAGAGATGTTCTGAGCTGGAATCTAGGGATCTTCACGGTTACAATGTGCAGACCCTGAAAAAGTCCTAGAAATGCTCAGCAGCTTTTCCCGAAGACTTCCTGTAAGGCAGCAATGCCGGCAGCTCCGGGTTCTGGACCAGCTGGACTCCTCGGTGGAGGCACCTTGCCACGCTTATAAACCAACCACCAGCACCCGAGGGCACAGATTCGTAAGTGTGAGGTCGTGTGCTGGCTTCTCTTCTCACCTGGACTAGGACCTTCTACAATTTCTTTTATCACCATCCACGGCTCTTCCAAGATGGGAATCACAGTTGGCCTGTACACGGTCAGCCCTGGTCAGGAGGAACACAAGGAGTTTATCCCGAGAAAAGGAGTGGTGTGGCCATATTACCTGATATCTACTGGGTGTCTGTGGGGAGACAGTGGCTCTCGGACACGGCCTAATAGGAGAACTAGGTGTGAGGCAGGGCACAGCAGCAGTGCCGCACTGCACACGGACCCACCCACTAAGCCTTTCTTTTGGGGAACAGTGGAAGATGACCATTTTTGTGCCTGAAGGAGGGACTTTTCCCCCTTAGACTGGGTTTCCAGTCAAATCCCCCAGGAGCCTAACCTGACGCTTAGTAAGGGGACGGGGATCTGGAACATACCGACTTGCCGGGTCAAACCTCTGGGGAGAAGAGTTGTGGACCTTACCTAGAGAAACCATGTTCCAATAGTTCTGTAACGTCACAGTCTTATACAGTTCCTTCTGAACGGGGCGCATGAGTTCCCAGTCCTCTTGCGTGATGTCCACAGCCACGTCGTTGAATGTCATTGATTCCTAAAATATCAAACATGACTTCGCTCAGTTGAAGAACTAGTGAGGAGGGAGACGGTGGTGGCACTGGGTGTGTGCCTACGGATGCCACAGAAGCTTAAGTCTCATCCTGCTGGGTGCAGTGGCCGACACTTGTAACCCCAGCATTCAGCAGGCTGAGACAGGAGGGCCCAAGACCCAAGCCAGCCTGAGCTACACGGAGATACCTTGTCTTAACCAACCAATCAACTGAGCAAAGTACGAAAACCCTCATCCGATGGAGGGCTGACTCCACAGCATCCTTCAAAGGTCCTTAAAGGGTCATTTAAAAATACGGTAGAATGTATTGCTTTTTCATTCCTGTTGAACTGTTGCATTTATAGACATATTTACTGGAAAGGTTACTGACAATTTTTGTTCTTGTTAAAAACATGTCTCACTATGTAGCCCTGCCTGGCCTGGAACCCACCGTATAGACTGGGTTGGCCACTTGAACTCATAGAGATCCACCTGCTTCTGGTTCCCTAGTGCTAGGATTACAGATGTGTTCCACGAGGCTCTGCATTCCTCTGGCATGCTCCTTTTTTTTTTTTTTTCTTTTCCAGTTGTTACTTTAAGAAAGATAACATATTTTTGAGTCAAGGGCTTAGTGTGTAACCTGGGTTGGCCTTGAACTCATCACACTATGCCTTAGCTCTGCCCAACTGAAAAAAAAAAAAAAAAGCAGTAAAATTTTTACTCCATGTGCACTGTGTTTTGCCTGCATGTATGTCTCTGTGAGGATGTCAGATCCCTTGGAGCTGGAGTTATAAGCAGTTGTGAGCTGTCATGTGGGCGTGGGAATTGAATCTGGCTCTGTGAAAAAGCAGCCAGTGCTCTTAACCAGTGGGCCGTCTCTCCAGCCCTTTTATCTCATTTTATCATATGATCTTAACATGGGATACATTTTTGCATGTTATTTTCTATGTTTTAAATTTCTAACATGTTTTCCCTTAATTTTCTGATTTTCCAAGTAAATATGTTCATATCATCTATAAGGGAAAATAACGTTTGAGTGCCAGACACTTTCTAGCCTCAGGGTACTCCCCAGGAAATCCTCTTCATGTTGCTTGAACTGTGATTCCCTAAAACGGGACTGCCAATAAAACAGATAATCGTAGACTATATCACCTTTCCTTTTTTTTTTTTTTTTTTTTTTTTACAGTTTTTAAATTTATTTTTAGTTCATTGGTGCTTTGCCTGCATATGTCTGCATGAGGGTGTCAGAGCCCCTGAAACTAGAGTTACACACAGTTGTCAGTTGCCAGGTGGGTGCTGGGAATTGAACCTGGATCCTCTGGAAGAGCAGCCAGTGCTCTTAACCCCTAAGCCATCTCTCCAACCCCAACCTTTACTTTTTGATGAAGAAAAATACTAGCAACCCCTGCTACAATCTAGGATAAACAGGTGTCTCATAGTTAGTGTCCGCAGTCTAAGAGGTGCAGTCTATTTCCTGGCATTGAATAACTTAGGCCAGGGTAGTTAAGAATCTTGTCTAAAATCAGAGATTCAATAGCAGCACCAGAAACCCTGACCTAGATCCCTTCTGTCTGTGGTGCCAGCCTCTCAGCCTTCACTCAATACTGCTGACTGAAGTCAGAGTGAGGAAGACAAGGAAGGCACATGTGTTCAGCGAGGGAAGCTGAGGCTGAGGTTCTGGATGGGGCTTTCGAGGGCTTTGTAGTTACAGTTCCAGGAAAAATGCCCTCAGGCACTAAGAAGCAACTTTAAAATCGCAAAAGTCAAACTCACGTTGGTCACCAAGTCGCTGAGCCACCCTGCCTGGAAGGGGCGTTTGGGGTCTTCCTCTGGGACTTCTTGGGGAAGGGCAGAACTCTGAGGAGCTGGGGAAGACAATGGTGATTAGTCCGTTTGCGTGACCTAGGACACGCTTCACCAGGCAGATGGCTCCACTTTCTTAACGTGGGAGGTAAGGACACGGAAGACTTCACTAAGGCTTCGGAGCCAGAGAAAAGGCCCATGCTATCAACACAGACTTCAAAGACAAGCCTGCTTCCTTCAGCACTATACAGGAAGTCAGACTCCGCTATGCTTTTTTTTTTTTTTGGTGGTGCTGGGATTGAACCCTGAACCTTGTACATGCAAGGCAAGTACTTCGCCATTGGCTAAATCTCCTGCTCTCTAAATCTCTGACACAAAGCTGTGAGTTGTCTTACTACACGGATGCTCTCTGGATACTTCTATTTTGGAAGCATATTTTTGTGAAACCCAATCCATAAATCTAATAGTTCATTAGCATCGTGGCGCAAACCTCTGCAGGACATGGTGGTCCCGAGTGCTCTGGAAGGGCACACGATGCAGGATATGGGCCTCATGTTAAAGCCCATTACTCACTGACCTTTATTCTCCTCAATTCCTTTGAAAGGGGCGGGTGGGGGGGGGGTGTGCTGCTCTCAGAGGTGCTAGGTGTCTTCTCTGACTGCCCGGGGATTCTGCCCCTCCCTGCTGTACAATTCTCACCTTCCTCCTCTAGAATCTGCGTCACATCCTCCACCAGAGCCACCGCCTCCTCGCTGTTCTCTGGGTACTGAGAATTTACCCAGGTCCTAACCTCCCCCGGCAGGATGGTCAGGAACTGCTCCAGCACCAGCAACTCCAGGATTTGTTCCTTGGAGTGAACCTCAGGTCTCAGCCACTTCAGGCAGAGCTCTCGGAGCTGGCTGAGCGCCTTCCGGGGACCTGCCACCTCTGGGTATGGGAAATTCCTAAAATTCTGTCGACAGGTTTCGGTGTCACGCACGAGTCTTGAATTGAGGGTCTGCTTCTCAACACTGCAGGGTCCATTTTGAACCTTGTCTGGCTTTAACATTAGAAGGACTTGTGAGCGTGAAGAACTGGCCATCTTCTTTCTTGAGGCTAACATTGCTACAGACAGGAGAATGAATCTGACAGGATTCTTTATTTTTCCAGTATCGAGCCAACTGCTTGAACTCTCATGCTACAGTCACAATCATTTCTTTTTTTATTCCCCTCAGGGGCTACTGCAGCCAGGTCCAGAATGGAATCACAGTAAAGTTAGCAGCTTGTACCAAATTCTGAGTCCAGAACTTGCAAGGATGAGCAAGACTCTGAAACACAAGAATTGTTAGAGTTACTATGGCTGAGATGAAACACCATGACCAACAGCAAGTTGGGGAGGAAAGCGCTTATTTGGCTTACACTTCCACATCACTATTCATGTCAAAGGAAGTCAGGACAGGAACTCAAGCACGGAGGGAACCTGGAGGCAGGAACTGATGCAGAGGTCAGGGAAGAATGCTGCTCACTGGCTTGCTCCCCATGGCTTGCTCAGCCTGCTCTTCCTAGGACCATAGGCCCTCCCACATCAATCACTAGTTAAGAAAATGCTCCACAGGCTGGTCTGCTGCTCAGCCTCAGAGGGGCATTTCCTCAGCTGAGGTTCCCTCTTCTTAGACCACCACAGCTTGTGTCAAGTTGACACAAAACTAGCCAGCACAACTGACCTCTTGTCAGTTTAACACACAAACACATCACTGTTAAGCTACAACCTTTCCTTTTTTATTCACCCCCAAGAGCACACGCTAATATTGACATCACAATGTAGAACATTTTCAAAACTTAAAAAGTCCCACAAGCATTAAAAAAAAACAAAACAAAACCCCAAACACTTTAAAAATTTTAGTCTCTTTCAAAATCCAAAGTCTTTCAACTGCAGGCTCCTATAAGATAAAAAGTAAGTTACTTTCTTATTTCAAGAAAAAAAGACCCAGGGCACAGTCACAATCAAATCAAAGTGAAACCAAACTCCAGCTGTGTAAATAACCCAATGTCCAGTGTCTGGAATCCACTCATGATCTTCTGGGCTCCTCCAAAAGGCTTGAGTCTCTTCTCTGGCTCCACTGTCTACAAGCACACAAAGCTTGTCTTCCAGGCTCCAGCTGGAATCACCCTGTTCCTGCTGCTGTCCTAGTGTAGACATTTCTACATGGTACTGGCATCTCCAAAATGCTGGGGTCTCTTGCTGAAACTGTGTTTTCACCAATAGACTCTGTGCTGGCTAGTCTTCTATCAGCTTGACACAGAAACTAGAGTTATCTGTAAGGAGGGAACCTCTATTGAAAAAATGCATCCGTAAGATCTGGCTCTAAGACATTTTCTTAATAAGCGACTGATGGGGGAGGGCCCAGTCCATTGTGGATGGCGCCATCCCTGGGCTGGTGGTGCTGGGTTCTATAGGAAAGCAGGCTGAGCAGCGCCCCTCCACGGCCTCTGCAGCGGCTCCTGCCTCTAGGTTCCTGCTGTTTGAGTTCCTGTCCTGATTTCCTTTGATGATAAAAAAGCAACATGGAAGTGTAAGCCAAATAAACCCTTTCCTTCCCAAATTGCTTTTTGGCCATGGTGTTTCATCATAGCACTAGAAACCCCGATTTGGACAGCCTCTTCTGGGCTCTCTTCAGGGACCGCAGCCCAGCCACGCAGTGCCAAGCCTCAGCTGCTCTCCACGACTCCTTCATGCCATCAAAACCAGGACCACCTGAGTGACTCTTACCCTCCCAAGCCTGGCATCCAGAACGAGGTGATCTCGTCCACTTCCGGAACACAGCTTCTGTGCGCTGGCCCTGGGGAAACACTTCCCAGAAGACATCACCTTAGTGATGCCAGCCTCTTCTTAAGCACAGATGATTGTTCAGTTCCACCTGACCAGACACCATAGATTCTTCACACAAAAGGCCAAGTTTGCCTCCCTCTGAAACGTCACGAGCCAGGCCTCCATCGTCTGCCTGCTCCTAGTGTTCTTATCTTCCAGGCTTGAAGTCCTTTCACAAGCCTCCCGAGATAACACAGTCAGGTCTGTGACAGCAACGCTCCACTTATGGATCCAATTTCTGTCTTAGCTAGGGTTTCTATCGATGTGATGGAACACCATGACCAAAAAGCAACTTGGGGAGGAAAGGGTTTATCTCAATAACACCACTGGTCATCATCAAAGGAAGTCAGGGCAGGAACTCAAGCAGGGCAGGAACCTGGAAGCAGGAAGCAGCTAGGTACTATAAAGAGGCATTTCCTCAGTGGCGGGTCCCTCCTCTCAGATGACTATAGCTTTCGTCAAGATGACATAAAAACTAGTCAGCACAAGGATGGACCATAAGTTCACTAGTTTCTGCCGCACTCTGCTTCTCATCATGCACACAGAAGCAGACTGTTCAGCCTGCACGGACACATGCACAAGACTCACCCTGGTCTTCCTTCCTTCTATCCTTGGACTTAGAATACACTCATCCTTGAAGAAGTGTGTGTGTGTGTGTTTATTGATGGTGGTGTTAGAAGCAATAACTCAAAGAATGATGAGCAGAATGGTTAATTTCTAACTTGCTAAAAACTAATCATCTTACAAAAAGAAATGTTCCACTAACTTAGTCACACGTTCCGGACGTTCTCAGCAGCAGGGCAAATGTACGATTATTGGGACAAACTGGAGGTTTCCAAACAGCCTCACAGGGGTGGGGCCAAGGCGGTCTATTTAGCTGTCCTGCACAGTCCCGCGGTACTCTGACAGCAGGGAAGACAAGCCCGTTGCGCCCGGTCTGGAGGCCGTCTGGGAGCCTCCTCAGGCATAAATCGAAAGCGCGATCCCTAAAGCCAACCTCCCAAGTATCCCGACGCGGAGACCAGACGAACCCACACGCACTTGTCCGGGGCTCCCGGCCCAGCTCAGCCCCAGTCCTGCCCCGAGGGGATGCGCCGGCCTCGCCTCCAGCCTCCTCCCCTTCCGGGCCTCGCCCCGTCCGGCCTCCCGGTGGACGCTGGCGCTTGGACATCAGTACCTGTCGCTCGGGCCCCGTCGGCGCAGCCCGGGCAGCAATGGCGGCCGAGGGAGGGCGCCTGCGTGGCCGGCTCGACCCTGCGCCGCAGCAGGAGCTCAGCTGCACCGCTCCCCTCCCCGGGAGGGTCCGGGAGCTGCCAGGACCGGCCAGTCCCGGCTCGGTCCCCAGAGGCCCCGGCCGGAACCCCCAACGCCCCGGCTTCGCAGCGACCTCGCCTCGGAGCCACTGCGCATGTGCTGCTGGAGAACCCTGCGCGTCCGTAGAGCCAATGGGAAGCCGAACCCGAGCCTTCCCATCCCGAGCCCCTGGCCTTGAACCTGTCTCCATGGCAACCTCCTCCACCCATCACCGTGACTTGCTGGTTAGCTGCAAGGTTTTGACAGGAGCTTTAAAGTTTCCCGGGGCAGAGACAGAGCTGGCAGCCGACTTGGACGTCAGGGCTGTTGCAGCAGCTGGGGAAGGGCTTGGAGAGTAAAGCCGGGTCCTTACTACCCAGAGGTAGACAGGCGTCGAGGATGTGGCTTGCGGGCAGGAAAACCCACAGTGCTCTTTAAAGGTATATTGTAGTGCACAACTCTTAATGGCTCGGATTGTCTCAAGATTGGACACCGGGACCTCCAGATTCAACTAATAGACACACCCCCTGCCTTTAGCCTTTCTCGCAGCTCCTTCTTCTGTTCTATGGATTCTTTGGTTTGATCTTTTGATTGCACCCCAGACTTCTTGGATATTGTAACACTCATTAAAACAGTCCTTACTGAACTTAGACACAGGAGTCAACTTTGTCCCCCATCCTTGATATTCTTTCTTCTGCTTGGCTGAGTCTATTGGTGGAGTTCCCACCGTTTTCTGTTCGATTCACCGAGGTTCCTCCTCCCCGCCCCTCTTCCCTCGAGATAGGGTTTCTCTGTGTAGCCTTGGCTGTTCTGGACTTGCTTTGTAGACCAGGCTGTCCTTGAACTCACAGAAATCTGACAGCCTCTGTCTCCCTGAGTGCTGGAATTACAGGCCTACACCACCGTACTTGGCTAATTAGCTGAATTTTAAATTTTCAGCATTTCTGAGTGAGTTCCCCCAACCCCAAAATACCAGTTCTTTCCCTACTTATGTTCATGCAAAACCAATTAAACTCATTGGGTCACCAAAACCAGATACAAAAGTAGGAGAGAGATGGATCTCTGTGAGTCTGAGGCCAGCCTAGTTTACTCAACCAGATCAAGGCTAACATGGGTGAGAGAGAGAGAACTAGAGAGATGGCTTAGCAGTTAGGAGCGCTTATTCTTACAGAGGATCCGGTTTCAGTTCCCAGCACCCACGTGATGTTGTCTGTAACCCAGTTCCAGGGAATCCAGCTCCTCTTTGACCTCCACAGGCTCCTGCATGCATCTGATGCACATCACAGCACACATGCAATTAAGCAAATGTTAATAAGAATAAATAACGTTGTACCGTACCTTAGGGCTTTTGCTCTCAAAAACAAGACCAAAACACCGAGCAGTCAGTAGATGGAGAAAAGAAATTAAGGTCAGGGCAGTAATCAGTGCTGATGGATATCTAAGCTGATTCATTTTCCTTGTGCTTGTGAAAAGAGTTACAATAAGAACAGACGTGCAAGTGTCTGTGCATAAAATGTAACTTCCTCTAAGTAAATACTCAGAAGTGGTATAGCTAGGTCATATGGAAGCTCTGCTTTTATTTTTTGATAAGCCTCCCCATGGATTTCCACAGTGGCTGCAGCACACTAGACTCACCAGTCATGGATAACATACCCTCTTTTTCAGATATGTTAAAAGCATTTGTTGACATTGTTTTCTTGTTGATAGCCATTCTGGCTGGAGTGATATAGAGTCTTAAGTATTTTTCTGATGGTTGAGGATGTCAAACACACTAAAAAAATATTTATTGGTCACTTATGTCTTCTCTTAAGAATCTAGTTCATTGGCCCATTTATTGCTTTGCTGTTTAATTTCTGCACAGTTCTAGACTAGGGGTTCTTAACCTGTGGGTCACAACCCTTTGGGGGCTGAATGACCCTTTTATAAGGGTTGCCTAAGACCACCAGAGAACACAGCTATTTACATCACAATTCATAATAGTAGCAAAATTACAATTATGAAGTAACAATGGAAATAATTTTATCCTGGGGGGGTGTCACCACCACATGAGGAACTGTGTTAAATGGTTGAGAGCACTGTTTTAAAGTAATCTAGGTTGTCAGTTTCTGAGCCTAATTCTTGTGCTGCTCAGACATTTCTTGCATAAACCTACATCCCAAAGTGTTTCCCCTATATTTTCCTTTAGCAGTTTCAACATTTGCGATTTTAAGGTAAGATCTTTGATTCAGTTTGCAATGATAATTTGGTTCGTGACGAGAGATATGGATCTAACTTTATTCTTCTGAAGGTGAACATCTAGTTTTACCAGCACCATATATTGAATAGTGCATCTGCAGTGAGAATTTTGTTTAAAAAAAAAAATCCCAGTTATATTATAGAAACATGTTTTTGTTTTATTCCCAGATGTGGGATCTGGGGCTGCTTCAGATTGTCCACAGCCATTAACTATGAATGTCTCATGCTCTAGGAGGGCACTAAATGTGCCAGCTGCAGACAGTTTAGTTTTGGGAACTCTGTTGTTTGTTTCTTTTTCTTTTTCTTTTTTTTTTTGAGACAGGGTTTCTTTGTGTAGCCTTGGCTGTCCTGGATTCACTTTGTAGATCCGTCTGCCTCTGCCTCCTAGAGCGCTGGGATTACAGCTGTGTGCCACCATGCCTGGCTAATTTTGGGAACTCTGGAGAGGGCATTGAAGGAGGAGGAAGAGGAGAAGAAGAAAACTGCTTTCCCGTCTGCTGCTCCTGGTTGCTCTCCCTGTGTTTTGATAAGAAGTTGGCGATATCATGACGAGATACTTTCCCCAATGACCCAATGACCCAATGACCCTGGTCAGTAGGATACAGTCTAAAGAGAGCCATGCCACTTTCCTCTCTGACCTTCTGTCTCTCCTACCTGGTGTTGGGGTGTTGAAAGGGCTTGGGGTGGAGAAGGGTGGTAGATGTAAGAACCCAAATAAAATAGATTAAAAAAATGTGCCAACATGTGTCCATGCCCATGTCCTGTGTAAGTTCGTCGACTTACATACTTGTCATTATGGCTCTGTAGTATATTTTAAAGCTAGGTCATGTGGTAACTCTGACTTTCTGCTTAACATAGATTTGGATATTCACGGTATTTGCATTTCCGTGTGAATTTTATGACCCTTGCTCCGATTCCTGTGGAGAAAGTCATTGGTATTTCAACGATTATTGCGCTTCATTTGTAGATTAGGTTTGGTAATATGGCCTTCCAACAATATTAGCCCTGCTGATTTATGAGGATGAGAGGTCTTTTCTGAGAAAACTATGGTGACTGTCGTAGCTGTACCAGCTCACACTCTCACTGTCTTACTTAGGGTCACTATTGCTGTGATGAAACACCATGACCAAAAAGCACCTGGGGGAGGAAAGGGTTTATTCAGCTTACTCTTCCACATCGCTGTTCATCATCGAAGGAAATCAGGACAGGAACTCAAACAGGGCAGGAACCTGGAGGCAGGGTTTGATGCAGAAGCCAAGGAGGGGTGCTCTTACTGGCCTGCTCCCCCTGGCTTGCTCAGCCTGCTTTTCTTACAGAACCCAGCACCACCAGCCCAGGAATGGAACCGCCCACAATGGACTGGGCTCTCCTCATCAATCACTAATTAAGAAAATGCCTTACAGCTAGATCTTATGAAGCCACTTTCTCAATAGAGTTTTCAGATAACTTTACTTTGTGTGTCAAGTTGATATAAGACTAGACAACACAGCTAATATTGATTCCTTGCTTTATTCACAGCCTCGCTAACATTTTCTGTCTTTTGTTTATCTTGATTATAGCCATTCTGACTGTGGTAAGATAGAAGCTCAGAATAGCTATAACTTGTATTTCTATGATTAAGGACCTGAACACTTTTCAAAGTATTTGTTAACAATTTGTATTTCTTCTTTTAGAAATACTCTGTTCAATTATTATTATTTTTTTTGAGACATGGCTTCTCTGTGTAGCCTTGGCTCTTCTGGGCCTACTTTGTAGACCAGGCTGGCCTCGAACTCACAGAGATCTCCCTGCCTCTGCCTCCCTGAGTTCTGGGATTGGAAGCATGTGCCACTGTACCTGGCTCTCTGTTCAATTCTATAGTTAATTTTCTGATTAGGTTGGTTGCTTTCTTGATGTTTAGCTTCTCAAGTTCTTTGTATATTCTCTATACTAATCCTTTATCAGAGAGTGAAGAATTCCCCTTTCACTCAATTAAGTCTCCTTTGCTGTACAGCCGGACGTCTTTTCATGTATAAGGTCCCATTTGTTGACTGTTGGCCTGATTTTTTGTGCACCTGGAGTCCTATGCATAATTCCGAACTGCATACTAAATACTTGTTCTTATGCCTACAGAAAGGCATAGCTGCCATGCCTTATCGATGAATCATTACAGAAAACCATAACTGATCAAAATGCATGAAACAGCCGATTATAGGGTGCCCAGCCCCAATGGATCCACCTACAGCACAACTCCTGAGCCCAAGGCCCAGGGAACAGTGGGAAAGAGGAGGTGCAAGAGGCAGAGAGAGGCCAGGGAATGTGGGTGAGAGTGTGTCATTTCTAAATGACAAGGAAGCGTCACACACTATGTCTCCACAGTAAGGCTGCCTAAACAAGGTCTGAACAAGCACAACACCCACAGACAGGCCTAACATAGAAAGGAGAAATTTCACAGGCCCTCATCTTTAGACAAAGAGCTACAGACAACTAGGGAATGCAGGGAGAGGAAGAATTAGTCTTACCCAGGGATGAACCTCTTCAATTGGTTATCAAATGTGAAGTCCTGGAATCATATTGCATACAAGCAACACTAAAAGAACTCAGCAGGATATATAAAATATAACAATAGCAATTGAAGACAAAGAGGCCATGCATTTGAAAGGGAGCGGGGAAGTATGGCAGGGGTTGGAGGGAGGAAAGGGAAAGGGAGGAAATTATCTAATTATATTTTA